AGGGAGAAATGAGGGGGTTTCGATGTAATACACAGTTGTTTTATTTTTATTTTGATGGAACTGTTTTCATGCCAGTGGGAAGCGACGGAAAGGATACCAATTGTATTTCATAAAATCGCATTCAATCACCAACCTAGTAGCCTTTGCTCGCGATATCAATTCCTAGTTATGTGATCTAGATTTTTGGACCCTGAGACACCCCTGGCCAAAGGCCAAATCAGTGAAGGATATTAGTTGTCAGAGCCAACCTTCACAATTTAGTAATCCATGGCTCGCAACCAAGGCCCAGAAAATCCATCGGCGGGCTGTATATTACTGGATGTTTGTCCAACAGCGGGAGCCCGCTCCAAAGTAGCTGAAAACTGTATAAACACATCCTCAAGAAGCACTCTTCGATCTCGTCTCCCCCTCACCCACCTATAGAAAGAGAATGGGAGAGACAACTCGGGAACAAGAGGCATTGTCCCAAGCATGAGGGTATTTTCGCACTGGGAAGCTCATTCTTTTATGATTTTTGGCCACATGAACGCCCGGCCTTTCACTTCCACTTCTTGGACTTCTTTCCGCGGCGTGTCACTCGGCATATCGACAGTTGGCTGGGCCCATTCTTTCTGCGAGGCCCAGAGCGCGGCTTGCAACCTGTTGTTCCGGGTGTCTTCAGAGCTGACGGGTGGATTCAAATGGATGGGCATGAACTCCTCTGGCGCGGTGTCGGTGGGAGACTCAAGACGGGTCTTTTTACGAGCTTCGGATTCCTCGCTTTCTTGTCTCCGCTTCATCTCCTGTCGTCGTTGCTCTGGTCTGAGTCAGCCGGCTCTTGCAAAAGTAGCGGAAGCGGCCATACTCAACAAACGCTGGATCTCAGAATGCCGGAACATGGCGACTTGCTCCGCTGTCAGCGTACGCTTAATACCATCAGGATAGTAGCCCAGATCATCGTCTCCATCTTCTGCGTAGAGGCCGGGAGCGGGCTGCGAGGATACAGCGAGAGTAGACGCGCTTGACGAGACTCCGAGGTCGAAGTGCTTTGTATGGAAGGACGCGAGATCTTCCTGTGCAGCGAGCGGTCAGCGGTATGGCACGAAGCCACTGAAAGCCAGGAAGGAGCGTACGAGCGTTATAGAAGGGAGGGCGAGGGTCATGGCAGAGATGCGGTGCTGGTGCTCGGTATGGGCTCGGGGGGTGGGGTGGTGGGTGAATGGGTTGGTCACCGAGGCATTCGCGTGCGCCGCCGAAAGCAACGTGAACAGAAAGAACGGAGCTCAACCATGTTTGTCCACCACCGCACCGGAGCATCTGTACCATCCAGACAGAGTACCGTGGGAGTCCAGTCCAGTTGACCATGCAGAACCGGCGCTTCGGGGCAATCGGGAAGTGTGCGCCCTGGCGGCCGTAACCAATCCATCCGACGATGAAGGCTGGTTACCGAGAGACGGTTGCCAACAGAAGCAGCAACCTTGGATCAAGCTCACACAGCGATGCCGCATTAGGGCGATTACCGAAGCTTCAGAGTGCCCTCACCAAAGCATGATTATGGGAGCACTTGGGGCGTGCTCGCACGCCGGAGCTGTTTGGTGAATTGAAGTTGTTGGCACAGAAGAAGGCGGATGCACAATGCATAATTATGTTGTCGCCTGCGATTGGTGATGCGGCGGATGTGGACCAAGTCCGGACAGCAAGGGCCGCGAGCACATCATGACGGTGGGTGGTGGGGTCGAGGTGGGGTGGGGTGGCTGTCTCGTCATCTTCTCTCTCTCTCTCTCGCTTTCAGAGGACCTGCCAGCCCAGTAGCCAGTTAGCAGCCCCTCCCCCTCCCAACCCAGCTCCGAGCGAGAAAGCCTTCCGCCGACGCCAGAGTAAAGATCGCCGGTCCTCACTAATCCGCCGGATCTAGCCTGTACACCTGGGAGCTCCCCCCCTCATCACTCACCCTCCTCCTCCTCCTCCTGCTGCTGCTCCTCCTACGTATCCTCCCAACCCCCATCCTACCAACCCCCATCCTAAAAATCTGCTGGCCTTTACCGCACACCATCTCTATCACACACCCAACCAGCGGCCAACCCACCTCCGCCCTCGCTACTGCTTCCCCTCCTGTTTAGCTTTCTGCTACCCCCTCCCGCCGTCTCCAGCCCCACCAACTCCTCCCAGCAGCCAACTTCTGTTGCTCTCGCTGCCATCCGCCACATCGTCGCCCTAGCCCAGCGTTGACGACACCGTAAACTCAATCCTACGCGTCACTGCTGCCCGTCATCCATTCTTTACCGCCCATTTCCCACCATGACAGACACCATTGTGCAGCCGGACGTCGCAACCAGCTCGGGGTGAGTCGTTTTCTGTGTTGAAGAGTCGCTCCGCTAGATGACATCATCTGCGCCTCATGGACTCGGCCTTAGAAACAAAGTTCGAATGTTAACGTATGGATCAGGACTGTTGAGCTAAAGGATAACACTACCATTGTGGTCCTCGGAGCGTCCGGCGATCTGGCTAAGAAGAAGACTGTAAGCACTTGGGCTTCTTGCTGAAATAAAATTCACTAATCACATATAGTTCCCTGCGCTCTTTGGATTGGTATGTTAGCAATTACGCATGGAAAATAGAGTTAAAAGCTCACAGACAGGGTAGCACCGCAACAACTTTCTTCCGAAAGACTGTCACATTGTCGGATATGCACGGACAAAGATGGACCGCGATGAGTACATCAACCGAGTTAAATCGTACATCAAAACCCCGACAAAGGAGATGCAGGAACAGCTCGACGAATTTTTGGAGCGATGCAGCTACATTTCTGGCCAGTACGACCAAGACGAATCCTTCGCCCGGCTTAGAGAGCACTTGGAGGATGTTGAGAAGGGTCGGGCCGCGAACCACCGTATATTCTACATGGCACTCCCGCCAAGCGTCTTTACGACGGTTTCCCAGAAGTTGAAGAAGAACTGCTATCCTGATAGAGGAATTGCCCGGTTGATTGTGAGAAGAGCCGCTGTCGCATGCGTGTCCTAAAAAAATTAACTATGGATAGGTCGAGAAACCCTTTGGTAGAGATTTGCAGTCATCACGGCAACTGCAGAAAGCATTGGAGCCGGATTGGAGAGAAGAGGAGATTTTCCGGATCGACCACTACCTTGGAAAGGAAATGGTCAAGAATTTGTTGATTCTCAGGTTTGGAAACGAGTTCTTTGGCGCTACATGGAACAGAAACCACATCGACAATGTCCAGGTATGTGACGGTGACAAGCAACTACGAACTCGGGCTTAACTCCGTCTGTAGATTACATTTAAAGAGCCCTTTGGGACAGAAGGCCGCGGTGGTTACTTTGATGACTTCGGAATCATTCGCGATGTTATGCAGAACCGTAGGTTGGCCTGTGGGAACAACATCAGGGCCGAAGCTAACCATCAACAGACTTGCTTCAGGTTTTGACCATCATCGGAATGGAGCGCCCTATCTCTTTCTCGGCCGAGGACATTCGTGATGAAAAGGTGTGTAACAAACACTGCCGTTTGCAAACTCTTCTAATCCGGGCTTAGGTTCGTGTGTTGCGCGGTATCCCAGCAATCGAGCCAAAGAACGTTATCATCGGGCAATACGGAAAGTCATTGGATGGTAGCAAACCAGGATATCTGGACGATGATACGGTTCCTAAGGATAGTCGATGCCCTACATTTTGTGCACTGGCGGTTTATATCAAGAATGAGCGATGGGACGGCGTTCCGTTCATCTTGAAGGCCGGTAAAGGTACTATCACGCTTATCTTTTCCGAGTTACTTTCACTCACGTCCCACAGCCCTCAACGAACAGAAAACCGAGATCCGGATTCAGTTCAAGGATGTTACCAGCGGTATCTTCAAGGACATCCCTCGCAACGAGCTCGTTATTCGGGTACAGCCGAACGAGAGTGTTTACATCAAAATGAACTCGAAACTGCCCGGCTTGAGCATGCAGACTGCTGTTACCGAGCTCGATCTGACATACCGTCGGCGGTTTAGCGACCTGAAGATCCCGGAGGCATACGAGGCATTGATCCTCGACGCCCTCAAGGGTGACCACTCCAACTTTGTGCGAGATGATGAACTCGACGCCAGTTGGCGAATCTTCACTCCGCTCCTCCATTACCTCGATGAAAACAAGGAGATTATCCCTATGGAGTATCCATATGGTCAGTTTCACCGTTCCGCCCCCATTGCACATCGTATGCTAACCAATGCGCATAGGCTCTCGTGGACCCGCTGTGCTCGACGACTTCACAGCCTCGTATGGATACAAGTTTAATGACCCTGCTGGGTACCAGTGGCCTGTCCAGAGTACGGTCCCAAACAAGTTGTAGGATGACTTTCGGGCGAGGTATTCTTCCTCTAGGTCTTTCTAATTTGTGGATGATGAAATGTGGGTTAGATAGATGTGGTTATCGTGATGGATTTTCAGTTGAGATAGCTAGGTTTGGTTGCATTGGTTGGTTGATTAACAGTCGTGAGTGGAGTCGGTATGGTTAGTAGAGTTTCGCGGTCCTTTCCAGTTGTCTTGTATCAGTGTTTCACGGTGGATCTGTATACCTTTGTTTAGTCGGTGCTCGTATGCAAATGTGTGAACACCTGACGGCATTTCACAATACTACGTAGACGTCTTGAGCTCTGACTGAGATACAAGTCCATTATATTCGTTCCCACACAACCTGTTTTTTTGTCTTCCAAGAGCTGGACATGCCATGGGTGCAGCCATACAATTGTTCCGGAACATATTGTATGGCTCCTGACCTATAATATAACCTAAAGATCATATGATACAATATGAGATTCTTTGTTCGTCGCCTTGTCTTCACTTGATATTGGTGAAACAGACGTCGAGATGTGTGGACAAGGAACATTATCGTAGTTCTTGGAGACCATGCTTGTGTCAGGTTGGCATAAAAATGAGTACAGGCGAAAGAAAACACTCTTGGACCAACAATATGTGGATCACGGTTATCACTCGGTATAGTTTGAAAAAACTAAAAGTAAAAGTTTAGTCCCAGCCGGGATTGAACCGGCGGCCTTCTGCGTTTCACTGTGTGTAAAGCAGACGTGATAACCACTACACCATGAGACTTGGATATCTAACATGTAAATTACGTTATTATAATGGTAGCATGCTGAACTACTGTGGAAGGCTGCCGTTGACGACCAGGCATGTCCATCAGCTTCATAGTGATTTTGAACCATGCTTCGTAGTAATTATCCACCCACAATAACGAATAACTCTATTAGCGCCTATAAGGATTACTCCTTCAACTCGGTGGTCACTCGGAGGCCGATGCTCAGCCCAGGCGGCTGAGATGCGCTCGTCTTCTGTCGACATCCCCGCTGTGCTCTCTCTACTCAAACGTCCGACAACCGCCTGTGGCCCCGCCCTTGGGCTCAACAACAACAACTCCCACCTCCTCAATCGCCCAAAAAGTCCTCGGGCTGGCTTCAGCAGGAGCGCCGCTGCCTGGGCCATGTTGTCCTCTGCCTCCATAGGCCCTCTAAAGGTTGTGGCGCTCTCTCGCCCGCAAGCCTGTCGGCAATGCTTGCGACACCTCGTTCGGCCATCACTGGTCCGCCTTCACTCCGACTTTACACCAATAAACCCGTCAACAATACCTAAACGGAAGACATCCTCTCTGACGTCCGACGATGCCGTCCCAAATCCGTATCAGGTTACTCCGCGACTTCGCAGCGCCGTGGTCAGCGTCTTGAAAGCCGCTCCAAGGTCCGTCGACAATACCGCTCCGATACCTACCATCCTCTCCTTACATTCCTCCAGAGCGACACCCATCTGTCCTACGAAGAACGGTTCGTCTTCTTCGAGATCCATGTCAACACAGTCAACCACTGGCCCTACAGAAGAGACAACGGTAGCAGCCGAGCAAGCATCCGAGAACTTGGACGACGTTTTACCCCATCGCCGAAGAGCTCTCCGGAAGAAGCTCTCCGCTGCCGGGCCTGATGGTACCCCCACTGTTGTCATCCCACCAGATGCTTCCTCTCTTCTTACGACTTCGTCTGCGGCGGCTTCCTCTTCCCTGAAGCGCTCCATGCTCGCCTTCCTCTCCCTTTCAAAGCCCCGCCTTACAGCTTTGATTGTTCTCACAACCATGACCTCCTACGCCCTCTTCCCTGTCGATCCTCTCCTTGCGTCTCCTGCCGCGCCAACATTGTCCGCTCTCACTCTCGTCTACTTGACTGCTGGAACTGCGCTCTCCTCCGCTTCCGCGAATGCCCTCAATATGGCCTTCGAACCAGCCTTCGACGCTCAAATGTCACGGACTAAGAACCGCCCTCTTGTCCGCGGACTGCTATCGAAGCCACAAGCTATCGGGTTCGCAGCTTTGGCTGGATCTCTTGGTGTCGCAGCTCTTCACATTGGTGTCAACCCCACAGTCGCGGCGTTAGGCGCTCTCAACATTTTCCTCTACGCTGGAGTGTATACCCCAATGAAGAGGATCTCAATCACAAACACCTGGATTGGCGCCATTGTGGGTGGCATTCCCCCATTGATGGGCTGGGCTGCTGCTGCAGGTTCAACCGCCACTGAAGGCACTGCTTTAGAACTCCTCTCTCATCCTGGAGGCTGGCTTCTCGCTTCTCTTCTCTTCGCATGGCAATTCCCCCACTTCAATGCTCTCTCCTGGACTATCAGAGAGGAATATAAAGCCGCGGGATACCGGATGATGGCCTGGGTGAATCCCGCCTTGAATGGCCGTGTCGCACTCCGCTACTCGGTTCTCTTCTTCCCCATCTGCTTCGGGCTGTGGTGGTACGGCGTTACGGACCCCGGATTCGTCGTGACGAGCTCCGTCGTTAATGCTTGGCTGACAAGAGAGGCGTGGCGGTTTTATAAGTATGGCGGCGAGAAGGGGAGGGCGAGAGGATTATTTTGGGCAAGTGTGTGGCATTTGCCGTTGCTGCTGGTGTTGGCCATGGCGCATAAGGAGGGCATTTGGAGAGGCGTGTATGAGAAGTTTTGGGTGAAGCCGGCGGAGGATGAGGGAGAATGGGAAGATGAGGAGGAGGGCGAGGAGGAGGAACAGGAAGAGCAGGCGACGCCATTGACTGCGGTGACTCGGGCGGTGCAGGTGGTGCCAATCAAGAGATGATGGAGGTGGAGGTGGTGTATAGTGTACGATACATCTGGAGGAAAAGGTGGCGATTGTATATAGTTTGTATTATCTTTCTTGGGGTACGGTTGGGTCAATGGGAATACTCTTTTTGACGAACAGCCACAGAGCTGAAACCATGACTTGGGTGAGTATCATCCCTTGCAACTTTAGACAAACTTCAAGTCTCATCTCTCGTGGAGTCGTTTCTCTTACTCGGTGCAAATTCAAATTTTTGACCTTAAAAAGGTTTGCATCGTCGATGATAGATGCACATTGCATATACAAGATTGCATATACAAGTAGGTATCGCATGAAACCTGACCAGCCACTTTCGTATTGATAGCCACGTGTGGTAGACGATGGTGCAGACAATGTCGCCGAATCCTGACAGGTTGACATGTAAATAGGAACAATGAGTCCAGAATCCCTTATGCAGTATGGCGGATTAGAATTAGAATTAGAATTTAACGAAGATCGTCAGTGTCAATGATGAAGAATGCTCCTCACAACTCCAGTTGGCGGTTGTTTCCACGTGTAATTCCTCGGCCTCCCACCAAGGCTTTGTGCACCAGGGCACGACATCTCCATGATCTCCATCTCCACTGAGACGCCCAAGTTATGCCTTGTCCAGGCAAATAAAGTGTTGAAATGACAGCAATCCAATCACCAGGCTACCTAGCCCCTGGAAAGCCAATTTTAGCCCGCCCCAGCTCGCAGCTCCCCCATAACGTAGTCCTCCTTCCCCCCCAGTTACTTTCACCACTAGTCTAAGATCCATCCCAACGACAACACGACCACTCCTCCCACCATCGCCCAGCACTTTTCCTCACTATCTCCTCCTCCCATCGCTCCCTCCCCCTCCATCACCGTGGCCGTCAGCCTCCCTCACCCTCGACTCGCTCTCCCGCCAGCCGACGCGATCCGACTGATCAACCCGTCGCAGATCCGAGCCCACCATGACAGTTGGGGCAGCTGCGCCTCTGCTGCTTGACGATGAGGCACACATCCAAACCCTGATACTGCCTGTATTACGCAGCCGGTCCTTTGTCTCACGAGATAATGGTAGATCAAGCCGTCAGAATACCGCTCTGGTGGTGAGTTCCCATTCGCTCTACTCTTACCCCAACAATACACAACCTCCCCGACCTTGTTTTCCCCCTCCCGTTCTCATCCTCCCCTCCTCACCATCTTCCTTCACATCATCAGATTTGGAATATGGGACTAACGCCCGGTACCAAGATTGCCGTCGTTTTTGTTGCCATTGTAGGCGCCTCCCTCATTTTCTACCTCGTCCTCCGATGCATCCGCCGGCGAACACAAGACCCGCCCAACTTCCTCCCCGCGGCATTCAAGAAGCGATGGCGCAACTGGCAACCCGGCCAAATGACCACGACCGGCCATACTCCTCTTCCAACCGTCCAGATCCCTACCACTGCAGCACAACGTGCGTCTTCCCGTCGGAATCGCGCCGCCGGCGCTGTCGGCGTCGACAGAAACTCCAGCATCCGCTCAATCATGACCCTTCCCGAATACCGACCCCTCCCTGCGCCAGACCGCGAACGCACGATAGGCCGGGCCGGCGAACGAGCGGGGATTGATGTTGTGATTGAGTTTCCAGAGACCGAGGAGGAGGAGGAAGGGCGGAGAGAGGAACACATGGAGACAATGTACCAGATCCGTCGAGCTCGTGCTCGGGAGCGTGAGTTGGCGAGAGAGGAGGCAGATGAAGCCCGACGTACGGAGGCAACGAACTCAACGGCGTCATTGATGGCGGCTTTGCAGAGTGTGACGGAGAGAGAAGCAAGATTGTCGCAGGTGTCGTATGCGGATATTGGGATTCAAAGACCAGATGGAAGTCGGGTGAGGCCGAGTATGGACTCGGATCGGCCTCTCCTGGCGAATGCGGCGAATATGGGCATGGGCGGTAATGCGAATGCACATGGGAGAAGCCTGAGCAATCTGAGTTATGCGGAATCAATCGAAGCACCGGAAAGACGGCGGAGTGATGAAATCTTTAATATGGGTAGTGCACGGGCAAGCATGGATCATCGGAACAGCAATGCGAGCTCGTTGCATCCATCAACCGCAGCAGGAGCATCGATAAGACAGGTACATAATGATTCAGGTTTACCACCCGCCCCGGATTATGAAGGCGCGGATTGGGGACCCCCTCCAGAGTACACTTCGCCGATCGAGACCCGTAACACGGGGCCAAACACTTTGCCGATCTTGGTCGTCGATTCAGGAACCCCCATCATAAGCCGTTCAAATACACCACAACCTCCTGGTACCCCGGTAAACGAAAACTCCGCGAGAACACCATCAATGCCTTTGGGCCGCTCAGTCTCGGCTATGGTTAATAACACGCCGGCTGTGACCACGGTTCCCCAACGAGCGGTTTCGACGGCGAAATAATCCACGTTCGAGTCCATGTCCTCTCCCGCCGGTTGACGAATCGATATACCTCCATTTCACCACCACCACTAGCAAATGCTACGAATGTACCACCATCATGAACGTTACCACTGTCTGTCAACATTACTTTCAACAAAGGCACTGTTTTTTGATATACCAATATTATACCAACTATCTCGATTGTCACATAGATTTCATTGGGCGAAGGCGTTTGCATTTTACTGTCTCCTTGCGTTGTCTTCTTTCTTTGCTTTTCATTGTTTTGCGTTGGTTTTTCATGTTGTTTGAAAACACCGGTTGGAGGTTTGGGGGCGTGGTTCATTGTGTTCGCGGCGTGTGAGGTTACATGGGGGATTCTGGGGGAGGGCTCGGACTGTGTGGATGTGTTGGATTGAAGTTGTTCTTTTGGCATCAGTGGATGGAACTATTCAACATCAAAAGGCTGTTCACCTGGCGCCAAATACCACATTCTACAAGGCTGGGAAGAAAACATTCACCCGTCGTCAATTCCAGACTACAACACCACAAGCCGCACTCGAAATCCACGACGGTG